TGATAACATTTTAATGAAATATGAAAGGTCGTTCAAACTTGACACAATATGCCATAAAAAGTAATATTTCACCCACAAAGACAACGAAAGTGGGGTACCACGATTCTTTAAATGGAATTGCTCGTTTAACATTAAATTTACATGTCCTATTCAGAATCACAAAATTTAAAACTTCTAGGAAAAAGGTTTATCTTAAATAATTGTCATCAGAATTAATAGTATTTTTAAAATTAATGTATTTTTAGACAGACAGCGACAACGTCCAATACCTATCGTGTTTGCCGAGTGAACGATGCGTGATACTGTCAAGCAAGAAAACCTATTGTGTCATAGGTATGTAACCAGGGATAGGTTCGATTACTTTCAAAAGTAATCGATTAAATTACAATTACTTTGGATTTTAAAAATATATCGATTACATAGTTTATATAGAATAAATGATTACAGACATTTTTTAAAGTAATCAATTACATCTGATTACTTTTCCTTCATGTAATCATGATTACTTATGATTACTTTAAATTACATTAAGTTTTTTTTATTTTCAAGGACAACGCCTTGTTTTTATTCTTCTTTCTTTAAATATCATTAATATTTTTAAGGTAGAATTCAGACAAAGTTTCGTGATACATGTCTTTATATAGATGCATGAGATTTATCTTATATCATCTGATTTCTATCTTTAATACAAGTTAATATCTTGTGTTATTAATTTTAAGAAATTAAAAAAAAAAGAATGTATTATTATTGTTTATAAATAAAACTGGACATAATTATACTTAGGGATAAAATGATTCGATAGAGAATGGTTACACAAGTAATTCACCTTCTTGATTAGTGATGAACATTTCAATTAAGCTGCCAATTATAAGATGTTTTTACTAGAATTAACACATTGACTGGTCAAGCATGGATACAAAATTAAATTATTTCAACAATTGTTATTACCCAAGCTAAACCTAACATGAAAATTGTATGATTTGATTTTTTATCACTTATTCACATTATCTTTTTATGTACAGGTACACTGTTAATCAAAGTGATTTTTAGAAAATATACAAGTTTATTCAAAGACTTATAGGGGAAAAAATGTTGCATTACACACATCTTAATTAATTGAAACCAACAAAAAATAAACTTTAAAATGATCTTGTAGTAATTTTCTTTCAGTTTATACATACATGTATGTCTAGTCAAAAATGGCAAATTTCTAAGCTGCTTAAGTATTTTGAAATGACTACTTTTAAAATATAGCAAGGAACTGATAGAATTACTCATTGCCTGGACAATGGACCTGGTTGTAAGCATTTCTGAAAGCATTAGAAGAAGATACCTAACTAAAAATAGCTTATAATTTTATAATAACTTTTGCTTATAAACAAATTTGTACACTGAAAAAAAATCAATGAATATAAAAAATCATGATCTTAGGAACTTGGTTTTAATAATTGTAATCATAAAGTAATCAAAAAGTAATCATGATTACAGGACCTTTTTTCAGAGTAATCGATTAAATTACGATTACTTGTAATCAGAAAAATGGGTGATTACTGATCACTCATGCTTACTCAGCAAACTGTAATCGATTACAGCTGATTACGATTACCCCATCCCTGTATGTAACTATAGTTATCAGATGAAAATTCCTTAATATCAGCAAGATTTCTCTCTAGTTCAATGTAGATTTCCCTTCTACTTTCAGATAAACATAGTCCAAACGATTGTACAGCGATTATAAACAATATATCAACATCTCCTAGTGGATTATACAGAATAAATATTCCAGTTCTTGGTCACGTGACCGCCTTTTGTGAAATGGAGGCCGACGGTGGAGGATGGACAGTAATTATTTATTAAATTAATAAAATACATCAAATTATTTCAATAGTGGTGAAAGTGCATTTCAACACAGGTTGTAATCACTTTTGAAATAACGTTCACTATTTAGTCTAAGATAATTCTTTCAGAGAAAGTACAAAACAAAACAAAGGATACATCCACTACTTGTAACCACTACTGAAATAATAATAAGTAAACAATTATTTTAATAGTTGAACGTGGATTAATAAACCAAAACAAGTAAAGAACACTATTGAATTATTTCAGTTAAAAAAGTCATCATTTCAATAGACCATTGGTAAACAACTTCCACTATTGAAAATGAAAATTGGTATAATTTGATTTTTTTAATACTAGTACTCTTCAAAAAAAAAAGAAACGCATAATAGAATTTTAGTGACACAGTGAACATAAAAATTATTAAGTAAAATTATGTATTGATAAAGCTGTTAACAACAGGAATACTATCTAAATGTCATAATTACTCAAGAATTTTAAAATCATTTTCAGTTTAAGGTCATTAGAGATTAATGTCTGGTATGCCACTTGTAGACACAAATGATAGGCACAAACAGCATCTAATGGAAGCAAATAAGTGTAATAAAAACTGTATATATATATATATAGGATTACTCTCCCACTCTTAATGTAGAGCTTTGGTCAGCTGTTGCAGAGTCTAGGGATTCGATTGTCTTTGGCAAATCATGTCAATCCATTTTGTCCAATGCTGCTTAATTCGGTTTAAACCTGGCGATTCAGATGACTGTGGCAGAAACAGGTTGCTGTTGCTTTGCAAGACGGGAGTGTCAAATGAGCCGTATGTGGCTGAGATTTCAATACAGCTCTAGGATGCTGTAAAATTGAATAGGCATGTGTAGGTAGAACATGGTAAGAGTACCTTTTTCCTTCAAAGTCCTTTGAGTTCGAACCAAATCAATCTTAAACTTGCATATAATACAGTTATCCATATCACCACCAACGTTTTTAACGTCCTTGATGCAGTCATCTGTCTAACATTCATTGCAAGCATTAGCACTCTTAAACTTACATGTATGGGAGACTTTCCAAAATTCTTCTGGACTAGTAGCTAAACCAAAATGTTCAGCAGTGCATGATGCTGTGGTCATACTCTGTTGATCTGAGATCTTTGAAGTCTATATTTGGGGTATTGTTGGGTCGGAACAATGGCAAGAATAATCCTCTTGCAATAATTTGAAAACGATGATCTGTGCTGTTAAGGGATAGATAATACTTTATTATGACGTCATTGTGTTACATTAATGAAATATACGTAATCCTCTGAATGATACTGTGCTACTGATTTCATACGTAGACTACCGTATTTTTATGTGAACATCTGAGGATCGATGTTAATGTTTTATGTTTTTAGGTTAGATATGCCGCTGTGCGTAACATTAAAACCTCTAGCAATTGTAGACTGCGGTACCCCTGCTTCCAGTCGCCCATTTTCCTTTTTGTCCTTTGCAACATTCAGATGCAGCATTTTTAGGAAGCGTCAATTTGCAGATAAAACCAGATTCAAAATATCGAGAAAGTCCGCTTTTGATAGCCCCTTTGTACATAAAGGAATTGCATCAGAAACCAAGAAAATGAAAAGTGAGATCAAAATGTTGGAGGGAATTTTGCTAAATCACGTCCTTTTGTCTGTGAGACTTGTAGAATAGTGCAAACTTAACAATTGCATTAAAAATCACGCATTTCACTCGAATGCATCATATCACATCCAAAAAAAAAGGTATGGCAAAACTATCATACCTTTTTCAGGGCATGGTTCCTACTATGAGTTTTTATACCCCTCCCCCTTGAAAAGTGGAAGGGTATACTGTAATCGGTATGTCCGTCCGTCTGTCCGTTACCCTTTGGGGTACCCGTCTCTTATCCGCAACTCCTCTTATACCACTGAGTGAAATTTAATGAAACTTCAACAGATTCTTTATTACATATTGCCCTTGTGACCTCCTATTTTACTTTTTGATCCGACACATATTTTGGATTTTCCGGCCACAGCAAAACATAAACTTTGCTATCATAACCATATGGGAGGCGGGGGTATCATTTAGTAAGCTCATTGCTCACAGTACCTCTAGTTTTTTATGAGTTTATTATCAGCGAGGATAATAAGCTAGTCAATGAGAACAATGTCTTAATTGTCTACAGAATTAAATATATATAGCTCTAGTTGAAGAATTACAATTTTTATTATTTATTTACTTTGTTTATTTTCGATATTTTCCCGAACAAATCTTGCAATGATTATTGCAACAGTAAACATTGCAATGGTGGTTGCGATCTTGTTTTGCTTTGATATTTATGCATTTTAACCAATATATTGATTATTTCATTTGCTTACATTACTTCAATAGTAGTTGTTACCTGGTTTTTAATTTGAAATGAATTAACCACTATTTAAGTTGTAGTTTCAATTGTGAACTTTAATTATTTTAATAGTGACTGCAACCTGTGTTATGTTTTGAAATACACGCACTTTTAACCACTATTGATAAAATTATTATACTTCTACTGTAAATACTCTATATAAAATTAATACCATAAAAATGTCTATTTCCCCGAGAAGAGAACACTGCCATCATCTGAAGACTACTCCCTGGAAAATCAGAGCTACTCCCTGGGACTACTCCCTAATGAATATTTATTAGTATTTTTAACCAATCAAAGTGCTCAGTGGGCGGAGCGTTCAAGGAATCTCAAGTCTGTGACGATATATTATTAGCAATGTAACTATCACGTCAAAACATTTTGACATGCGATGTCAAAATCATGCTTGAAATCTAGCTAAATGAAAACAACGATAATTCTTCGAAATGTCAGTGAAAATACTTTTTAAAAATAATTGAATTGTTTTAGGACACGATGCATTACTTATCATACAATGTGTTAAACCGCATACATTTGTAATTATGCCTCTACATGTTTTTTTTTTTAATGTCGAAATATCTAGTAAAAAAAAATAATCTCCTATGATTGTTTTGGTATAATAAAAAAGTTATGGAATGGAAACTCGGGAAATAACAGTATATTATTAAATAGTGGCAGTGATTTAAATAGTAATTGCAACAATGCTAAAGCCCATAAAACAATTCAAATCAAGGACAGAGCAAATACGGACCTCAAAACACATGAGGGGTGGTATTAGGTGCCATTCCTTGTCAATCGTTCTCAATCCCCGTACACGTGTTTGGCGGGAAACACGGAAAAATCTGTACATATTTTAGCGTTTTAAGCAATAACTAAGGATTTTTTTGTAAGGAATTTGTAGAATGAAGTTTTAAGCTTGTCTTAAATCACTATATGCATACCCTATCACAATTAAAAATGTTGACAATTAAAGGATGACTGGACTTAAGGATGCAAGAAATTTGCAAATGAACTTTCAAAACAGGCATTTTTCTTTATATTGCAGAAAGGATCAATCTAATCTTTAACTTTACTTCATTACAATAAATGAAAGCTTATATTTACGATGTACGAATCTGTTTTAACTATTTCTTCAATGTCCATTCGATAATGAGGACGCTCACTCTTTTTTTTTCGATAATGAGGACGCTCACTCTTTTTTACTGAATTTATACATGGTAAACGCATGTTTTTCTGTTGTTTTCCTTTTAACAGTAGTTGTATATTTACATACGTGATGTGTTCAAAGGAGATATTAAAAGACAAATATGCGCTCATGGTGTAAAAGAAAAAAAACTGCTTCTTCTTACACTCGCTCTCTCCGTTGTAACCGTTCAATATTATGATTCACCATTTTATAGCCTTTCTCAGGTAATTTTGTGAATACTAAATTCCGTCACATGGCTTATTGGTAGCATGTTTTGTGCTAACTAGGACGCCGTGCTCTAACACGCTAACTACCATAGATTTAAAATATTTTTTTTAATTACATGGATGGGCTCATACGTTTTACCTTTGTAAATAATGCACATGTGTCATACAGAAAAGATCGGAAGATGGGAAGCAGTGATGTCGAAATTTTAAATACATGTCATTGTTATTCAAAAAGTCTAATTCAAGATCCATTCGTACGCTGTTAGCTCAATCTCTCCTAAATACATAATGTATTCAATTAAAGACAGGTAAGTGTTAATTAAGAAATAAGGTATCATTTTCTGAGTGTTATTGGAATGTAAAACGGGTTGGTCACGTGATCAAATCCCATAAAGCCCGAAGCCTGATCATGTGCCAACCCGTTTTACATCCCAGTAACACTCAAAAAATGATACCTTATTACTTATATTAACATTTGCGACTTTTTCATACTTTAAATTTGCCTGATTGTGACTTTTAACGTGTGAAATGCATTATTTTTCAAACCCAACGGCATGTATGTAATCCACTGAACGCGCGTCGACCCTTTATGACGTCACTAAGAAATTACGTCGAAGGTTTATCCATACGAACATCTATGACCTATTGACCCCATACCTGTATTTATACAGTTATAAAAACGCTTGCTTTCAGTAGTGTTATATAAAGGAAAACATTTGCAAATGTAAATATTTCTCTGTAAAACCAAATGAATTATTGTTTAAAAGTTTAAAATCAATTTTAACATTTAAACTGGATGTCAAATTGACAGAATGTAGTAAATATATAAAAGTAAAATTAGAATAAGATTTAAAAGCAACAAATGCGATCGAAAAAGACATTAAACACAGAGTTAAGTGCAGTCATCCTTTATTCATTTGATATGTAAGGTGTCGGTTAATGCTTGAAAAAGACTATTTTGCTTTTTATTATCTGAGGTTTTCCAACGTCGTCTTCACGGATCTGAAGATTTCTACAGAACATGGGAGGAATACAAAAACGGATTCGGAAATTTGACCGCGGAATTCTGGTTTGGTGAGACAAAAACTCAGTGAGAATTTACATTGAAAATGATTGCTTAACACAATCTTTTAAAACGTGAGTCACAGAAAAGTTACCATTTCTGATTATGTAACACTGTGACATTAATAAAGAAATTATGTTTCTTTTCATGGACAATACTGCATGCTTAATACGCTTAACTATGTACACGTACAGTGTTTCAAATCAATTTTGTTTTGTTTGGTGACAGTACTATAATATAGAGATACATTCAGGTAGATTAAATAAAACCGCTTTTTTTCTTTTCTTATTAGCCAAATGTTTAATTGATTTATATTAGACAGTTTATTTTCATCAATACTTAGGGTCAGATGATACCTTACTCAATTATTTGCATTTATTTTTTGAAATTGAAATGCATAAAATAATTCTCATAATTTTAATTACATTCTGCATGTTCTGAGCCTGAGTGCATTAAATCCACATGATATACGTTTATTTCCAATGAAAGAAGTGGTACATGTATGCTGCGAGAAATAATTATGAACTGAAAAATAGCATCATAAAAGAACTAATATAGCTTAAATATAGCTTAAAATTAGTCGCCACAATGAGCAGCCGTCTTATTTAAATTAAAAGGCCGATCCTTACCCTACGGGGTTAAATCGCAAGGTGGAACCGGGATGTCTGGGGAAGAAATGAAAGACTGTTGACCTGTATTGCAGTAGGTACTAACTAAGTGACTTATAATTAATCTGCAGTCCTAAATTGTCAACTGATACCACCCTTGTAGCATCGACTTATTTGTCAATAGATGTTCAACATCTCAAAATAAAAACGGGGACAAATAAATATCACGAAAAATTCAGTGAGACTAAAAACAGCTAAAACAATACACATAGTCAATAACAGGAGATTCCAGATGTGCCATCAACGATAAAATGTTCGCGCGAAAATAATTTTTTGCATAATCACTCCACAAAATAAATTAGAGCTATGGATAAATGTTATAGTTTTGCAGATGGATTTTCTTCATTAATTTCATAGATACCTGTTTTATTTAAGGTGATGAAAAGCTGTATCAATTACTTAGTCAGGGATCATACGTGTTTCATGTATCTGACATATAATTTCGGATTAAGAATGTACTTGAGCAATTAAAGCCCGGCTTTCAGTACTTTCAGTACTTTGATATTGTTTAAGGCAATGAGAAGCTGCATCACTTACTGAGTCAGGGATCATATCAGTTACGAATGGACATGAGTGATTTCAACGGCAAAACACGTTATGTGAAATACAGTAGTGTATCCCTTGGGAACGAGGCTACAAAATACCAGATTTCCTTATCTGGTTTCTCAGGGGACGTCGGTAATATGATGTTTTCTTTCATGACTTATTTTATTTTCATTAACACCATCCCCCTCCCAAAAACAAATAAATAAATAAATAAAGTTACAATATATTTAAGGAACGAAACTTATCCTTATTCCTTTTCCAATTAATCATTTAAATATAGTTTGCATAAATTAAATTTACTTATACATTTATACATTCATTCTTCCATTCATTTATTCTTTAATGTTTTATTTTAAGGTGACTGTTTCACTTCAACAACCTATGGCCAACCAATACAAAACATGAAGTTCTCGACGAAAGACCGAGACAACGACTATGTAACTTATAACTGTGCCGTGAAGTTCCAGTCTGGGTGGTGGCACAATAAATGTCACTGCGCTAACCCTAACGGTCTCTATTTGGCGGGAGACACAACCGTGTTCGCTAAAGGGATAACGTATTATCCGTGGTTAACGCATTACTACTCTCTGAAGACAATTCGACTTATGGTTAGAAAAACTGTGTGATTTGTTGATCAACTTATGGTTAAAAAATTGTACAAGTTCTTGCATTCAAAGATTGACCTTAAGAGAGAAATACGTGTAGGTGTTGCTTTCAACGGGAATGATATATATATTTGCTATTTAATTTGAATTAAGCTGTTTTCCTAAAACGGTAACATTGAAATGAAATGTGAAGAAAAGGGATATGAAGAATTATTCATTATAATCTTACTATGAACGAATTTTTTAGATGTTCAGTATCAAATCATTATAGCTTGATGACAAAGAAGAGGACTTTAACTTTTTAATTGTTGAATTCCCTTACATGTGTAGCAAAATTCCTGCATCACCTACATATAGGGTTTATATTTTTCAGTTGATCCGATACGCAGTAGCTTGCTCCTTAAATAAACAATTCTAAATCGAGGTAATTTATTGACAAACAAGTTGATGAAATAAGAATATCAGTAGCCTCGTTAAAAGTCATCATTTCAAGTTCTGTAGTCGATACAATGACCTTTTTAATTAGTACAGTTTATTGTTGAATATTTTCATTTTCAATGTCTTTGTCCGAGACAAATTACAAATAGTAAATGTACTTTATTTGTACATAAATGTAATGGTTTATCGGCGGGAAAAAAATAAACAGAAGCAGGGCTTGTAGCACGTAGATTTGCGGAATCAAGAGCATGTAAATATAAGAAATAATCGGCGTTTATGCAAATTATTACGCAAGCAACTTGATTTATTACATCATGAAATTAAAAAAAAATAGATTAAAGTTTTCCAGAAGTCAAATGCTGATTGACGTTTTTGATATTAATTGTTAGCCATTACATACATGCTGAATTACCTTATTTTCTGTCATTACCCGATCATGACAAGGAGCACACGGCGGGTGTAAACGGTCGGCAGAGGATGTTTAATCCTCCATGGCACCTGATCTCACCTCTGATTTCTTGGGGTCCATATTTGCTCTGCTCAATTTTTTTTATTGTTTTGATGAATTTTTGATCTCAAAACTGTTAATTATCTTCATATATTTCACTATATACTTTTTATATATACAATATAACCTTGTTATCTTTAACCGAATGACCGAGACGTTTAAAGTCTTCTATACTTTATAATTTGAACTATACATGTGAATTGTAAATAACATTAGTGCCACTCATTCTTTCATGCATTCTTGTTTATATGTTAGAATCTTGTATTATTTGTATTCATATTCCCCAGTTGGGGTCTTTGTCTTAAATAAAAACTTGAAACTTGAAAAGCCTAAATTACAAAAAAAAAACATGAGGAATTGGGACTTCCGAATGACTTTAATATACATGTATCAATGGTATTCAATATATCAATGATCATGATCTTAATTTTGCACTTTGTGAAATTGCAAGGATGTGTCAAACAAACCCGTCTAAACATTTTGAACTTTTAATAAATTTTAGATGTAAGAAGATTTTTAATTTATTTTTGTGTGAAATGCTGTAAGTCGTAATATTATACAGAAAATTTTAACTTTCAATCTATGTCCATGCACCTTTAATGATTTACAATGTATGAAAAATAAAAGAGTATACTTCAAACTTTTCTGTAACGCATTAAGAAAGGAAATGTGAACTAGAAGTCCTATCTCACGTTTTCGGGCTTTTTTCAGGATTTCGATATTTTACGTGCCAGGAAAACGTCAGGACCGACCGGCATCATTACGAAAACTAAAAATTTGCCGCCTCCACCTGAAGGTGGCATTCTGGGGTTGATTTCGATACTTACCACCGAATTAAATGTTTAATTCAGAACTTGTCAACAGCACCATGCCTTTTATACTCATCAACATCGTTTTTATGGTCTGTTGATAAAATATACATTCCAGTTAAACATTTTATAAGAACGTCGGACTTTGATAGCTCAGAGAGCTCGTGGAAAGCGATGGTTGGGACAGGAGATCTTCCAAGTGGAAAACACTTGATGCAGATTGTGTTGCCTTAGATTTTCCTAATCTGTCGGAAGATTAGATTAGCAACATCACTTTAGGAACCTATCGGGTCAAGTTGGTCACAGCGTGTAGTTATACACATGAACATAACAAGATAAAGGTGCGTATGACATTCTTATTGCAGAAGATATACCAAACAATACAAAGTTGTCACATGTCGGCCAAAAAATACCTTTGATGGATTTGCCACAATGAAGGGGTCATTGAATCATGGTACTGTGAAAGTAAGGCTAGGTCCCGTCTTGTAGGGTGTTGTGTCCACATTACCAGCGTACTTAATTTGGTATCTTTCCTTTGTGCGTCACCAGTCTAAACCTTTGAAAGGCGTTCGAAACTGGGCGGATCACCTTGCACGACGGAGGAATGAATGGTTTGATTGTATGTTGTTTAATGTCCCTCTCGAGAATTTTTCACTCATATGGAGACGCCACCACTTGCCGGTGGAGAGCTACAAATTTTGTCCTATACTCGGCAATCAGGGCCATTGAGCAGTGAGGGATCTTTTTCGTTCCAGCACCTACTGCGACACGGGACCTCGGTTTATACAGTCTCATCCGAAGGACCGGTTCCACGTCCCACAGTTGAATCGACGTAAGGATTGTACTCTGACTTGACACTTTAACTGCACCACGCGGTCGACTCCGACGAAGGATTGAATGTTGACTGCTTTTGAAGTTTTGTTATTTATATTTTTTGTGATGAAAGTTTCCTTTTCATGAACGGGAATAGATTTCAAGTACTGCACATGTCATCCCTGTTCTGGCCTTTGGACCTTCTGCATTCTATGTTAAGATAATGCGACGAAAGTCTGATGCGGGAAATATGCTTTATTATATATATTACTTTTAAAAGGTTTCGTTAAATATGGTTGCATTTTACATAAGACAGACTGGTCATTGAGCTTATACATGTATAAAACGTTTTGCAGAAAAAACCATGCATGCATTCTCTTGGAGGTGTATATTCTAGGATTCTGATTTTTTTTATACTAGTATATATGCATGAAATGAACAGAGTTTATTACTTGCTGGTTCATTTAAAATTTTCCCTGACCCAACCTAAATAATTCAAGTTTTACTTCATGCGCCCACTTTATAATTGTATTTGTTCCCGACCCATTCTCCTCATCATGTCACAGGTATTTTTCTGAAGATATTAGTATGCAGTTTTCTGTTTTTTACACAAGAACTTTGTGATTTTTAGGTTTCTTTGTTGATAAGTGTATATCGCCTCAATTCCCTATAAATCATATAATTGCATTATATTGTTGAATTCAAATTTCTAAATACTGGTATTACGGCTTAAACCAAATTGAGCTTTTTGACGTTGTTCAGCTAGTTTTATCTAAACAATGGTGTCATACAATATTTCATCTATTTTAACAAATTGATCAAGTGAGTCCTTAACTAGAATAATTATTCCTTTACCCTGTGTGCGATTTCTGACACGTTTTTTCTGTGCTTTGCATAAACACACTAACCACTGAAAGATATATATTAGAGTGCTCCGTTATCCAGCATTCAAGACGTATGCAAATATTATAATCAAATAGGCAAGATTGGAAATTTTTGTCACTAGTATATTTCCAGTCCGCCATTTCCCTGACTGGCATTTATTTTTACCACCTTAGACCCATATTCGTCATCAACGCCAGTGTCACACTATGCCTCTATCTTTCCATCTACGAATAATTTGTCTCTTACAAAGTGTACTTTCCGATTATTTTTTTTCGTCTGCTTGTACTGTGGAAGAAGAAGTTTACGTCTATCGCGATACTCCTGTGGCAGTTACTCCCATATGCTGTAATTGGTATCCTTTAGCTTGAAGCTGGGTTTACCAACGATCTCTCTATCATGAAAGATTTAAATTGCACAATAATTGGACGGGTCTTGCTTCAATTGGTTTCCCAACTCTGTGGTCGCTTTTAAGCTATATATTTCCATCCTTTCCAACGCCCAAATTGTTTTAACAAAAGTTTTGGATGAGTATTCGGCAGTTTTCGAATTAAGTTTCATCGAAGTTGAAGAAAAGTAGATTATCCTTCATTGCATTGCATTTTATATACAAAATTTCAGGTTGCATTATTGACACTGACTTGTCTCACCATTACCTGTGCCCATGGTGGAGCTTGACTCATCATCTGGTAATCTATGGGCGGAGATGTAGAAAATGCACCTATGGGAGAGCAAGGCGGTGGAGAGGGATATTGTGGCATACCTTGACCCTGTTAGACTGGAATAGGTGCACAGGTAGGTGTATAATGGGGCAGTCTTGTCCATTCATTCTCTTGCAATTGATTATTTGACCCTCTTCCTGGAGTTTGCACCAGTTCTTCACTCTTACCCTCATTGCCGTTATACCGTTATACCCCCCCCCCCCTTGCACTTCGGTATATGCACAGTTTGCAGGTGCTATTGGACTTGAATTCTGATCACTTAACCTTTTGGAGGATAATTTTGAATCCGTGCCTAATGAACTCATATCTGATCGTCTACGTTTGTTATTAAACTTATCAGGCTTAGTGTTCGACTCGTTATCCATTTTACCATTCACATTGTTTATATATAGAGCACGCCGGATTGGTCGTTTACATTTTCCGTTATTTCACGATCATGGCAATTAGCACTTGGCGGGTGCGACCGGTCAGCAGGGGATGCCCACACCTTCATGGCACCTGACCCCATCTCTGATGTTTCGGTGGTCCATGTCTGCTCCAATCAACAAAACACGGTCACGGTACATCTAGTGGTAATTTGAAGATTCGTTTTATCAAACATAAGAGTTCATTAAACTGTTTTTTGTCGACACTTAAAGTGAAAGTCACGGGTCTTTCGGATATGACCTTGAAAATGTAGGTCCCGTGTCACGGTAGGCGCAGGCACGATAAAGAAGCCTCAATGCTCAATGGCCCTGAGTGCCGAGTATAGATCTAAATTTGAAGCCCTTCACTGGCATACGGTGAACTCATATGAGTGAAAAATTCTCGAGAGGGACGTTAAACAATATACAATCAATCAATAGGTTCAGTTGAAATCAAAGTATTAATGCTAGGATAT